GTAACTGTGCCCACAGGTATAATGACGTAGAGTCGCAAGAAGGGAAATTTTTTGATTTCTTTAAATGTGTTTTTGGTGGTATTGAGGGAAATTGCGAAAAAAATCAATAAATATTCGAAAGATGTCAAATTTTATTGGGGCAGTAAAAATTTGCAAATAAATTTTAAAATAAATATACATTTTTGCCATAGAGTCTTCTATGTAGTTCGTGAAGGAAATAGTCCGGATTTTTATCACCTTATTTGATTCATGTAATTAGTCTGCTAATAACAAATAAACTGCGGTTGTTCCACGAAAAAAAAATATCTCAGCAACATCTAGTCCAAATTTTAATGTGAGAAAGAAAGAGGAAATAAACGGCTAACTAAACAAGTTACAAGTAAAACAGCAGTAAGTTCGGCTGGGCGAAACTTTGAATATTATTTGGTGCGAGTTTGGAAAATTTCAAAAAGATAACATCCATTAAAAATTCTGTTAAAATCTTAAAAATACTGAACATAGCCGTTATATTGGGGACTACACGAAGAAGTGGACCTGCATAGGCCACTTTTGTCATAAGCCACTACAATATTCAAATACGAAAATTAAAAGAATAAAAAAAAATCCGGTGAATAATGTAGCTAAAATCATCAAAATACTAAATATAGGGAGGTACTGATATATGGGGCCTATATGAAGACCTGGAACTGCATAGACAATTTTTAGTCAGAGGCTGCAGTTCCCATTACGAACTCTAAATACGAAATTTAAAACAACTCATGTCGCTAAAATCATCAAAATATCGAATATCGGGGGTACCGTTGTATGTGGGTTATACGATATCGTGGAGTAAAGAGCTTGGAAAGAACTTGAACAATGTTGCTAAAATCATCAAAATACCGAATATCGGGAGCTACCGTTATATGGGGGATATACAACATCGTGGACCTTTATAGGCAATAATCTTCCAGGGGGTATATTACTCAGATAAAACTCCTTGTATGGATTTTCAGACAATTCCGTTGCCTAAAATCATAAAAATACCGAATATAGGGAGGTACTATTATATGGGGGCCATACGATATAGTGGACCTATTTATATAAACATTTCTCTTCTATGGTCAAGTACTCAGAAACAACTCCTTGTGTGGATTTTCAGACAATTCTGTTGGAAAATGTGGACTCTACGTGATTTCAACAGACAGGCAGATGGATAGACAGATGGACATCGCTAAATCGCCTTAGAATTTTATTCTGACCGAGAATATACATACTTTTTGGGGTCTCCTAAATAGAGGCAAGTTCACCCTCTTTCGTTCTTTTTCACACATATTCGGACTAAGATTCCCCAAAATACGTGGCAATATTTCAGATAAAAATACGAGAAATATTTTGGTCGACGATTTTAACCCTCAGCGAGTCAACAAAGGGACCTTTTGAAATAATATGAAATTATTTGTATTGAGATTCTACTATATGTCCTAGAAGACTTCAAAAGTCTAAATCAGGAACTCGTATATATTAAAACCAGTAAGAAAAAGTTACAAGCCGGGCGGGACCGACGATGATACCCTTCACCACTTTGCTTACTTAGTTTATTTGAAGTGGATCATAACAACTATCAACATTTAGCTTTAGAGCAGTTGTAATTTTGTTTCAGATGGAACTAATAGCGGAAGCATATCCAATTCTGAATCGATTTTCACTAAATTTGACGGAGACATTTCAACCTTATATACCAATTTAACATTGCTATAGAGTGCATTATATCACTTCGAGAAGGATTATATAAACAAAATATATATCTGAGCCAAGTTCCACAAAATGAAAACGTACGTCCCGAAATTCACTCCATTTGGGCTGATATTAGCCATTTAGTGCACAATAAACCAGAAATCGGATTAAGGATTTAGCCGTTCAAGATAAAATTTGGCAAATGTATTTCCTAGCTCTATAAGATATCGGGTACCAAATATCATTGCTGTCGAATGTATATTACGAATGTGAGGGATTTAAAAACCAAATCGGATGGAACATATATATGAAGGACATACTTCTAGATTGAATTTGGTTGGTCGTGATATTAGCTATTTGGTGTACAATTAAGCCGAAATCGGTTGAAGATATATATGGGAGCTTATCCAAATCTTAATCGATCTTGATACAATTTAGCCGAGGTATTTCAGGGCTGTATCTGAGATCTGATACCAATTATCATTGTTGTCGAATACATATTACTTAAAAACCATCTCTGATGAAACCTATATATGGGAGCTATAGCTATATCTGAACCGATTTTCTCCGAACTCGATGTACTTGTTTCTATATTGAATTCGGTCGGATGTGCTAAAACTCGGGACTTTTGAATTGATATTGGCCTTTTTACGCACAATTAACCCGAAATCGGTTGAAGATATATATGGGAGCTATATCTAAAACGTGAACCGATCTTGATACAATTTGGAAGAGGTATTTCTGGGCTGTATCTAATATCTGATACCAAACATCATTCTTGTGGGGTGCATACTACGAATGTGACGGACTTAAACACCAAATCGGATGAAACCTGTTCAGGGTGAGATAAAAAACTGCTACAAAGTCAAACGCCATAATTTTTTAATTTTTTTAATTTATTGAATGAAAGCATAAAATGTCGGAACTAGCATTACATTTGACACGAATTATGGCCTTCCAACGGCCAATGAAACCGCCACACGCTGCCCGAATGTTGCTCTGCGGTATTTTGGCCCATTCCCGGCAAAGCGCTTGCTTAAGGTGATCGACACTTTGGTATTTTTTAGTGCCAACCATGCTTTTCAAAATACTCCAGACACAATAGTACAACGGATTGGTATCCGGAGATTTTGGTGGCAATTGTGCGGTGGAAATGAAGCGAGGAACCTCATTTTGTAACCATTCCTGGGTGGCGCGTGCTGAGTGAGATGAGGCCTGTTGGAAAGTCTAAGGTCTGCGGCCAAAATGTTTGCGTGTCCAAGGCTATTTTCGTGATAATATTCGGCATTTATTCTGATGCCACTGTCGATTAATACGAGCGGAGAGCGACTATCGGCGGCCCATACCATCACAATGGCGGCGCTTGAGTTCTGGTGGTCAACAGAATGTGCACATTTTTAGCTGGCCTCTTTGGCAAATAAACACAATCATTTTGTTTGTTTACAATCTGCTGGACAACGAATGTTTTCTCATCGGAGAAAACCAAATTCGGCAGTTCACCACTTTCGGCCAAGCAAAGCAAGCCCTTAGCTCTTTTGAGCCTATTTTATTTCTGTTGCGCCGTAAGTTCTTGCACTTTTTGGAATTTCAATGGCTTTACCCCGAATATTGCGATATGTTCAGCTCGAGCCAATTTTCGGCTACTGCGACGCGGGTTTCGATGAAGTCGCTTTTATGCTTTTCGAACCATCCTTGACGTATCACGCTACCCGTATCACGCTAACGAGCGATGGTACGAGACACAAAATATTTATTCACTTTTAAATTCTGGATTGCTCTAACGATAGCCACTTGTGGTTTTCCAGCCAAATATAAAGAAATCACACTATCACGCTTGAATTCCATCAAGAATAACTTTTTTCTGGACAATTCTCACCAAAAAGCTTTTGTACGCTTGTAAACAATATAATGGGCTTTCACTGGAATAATTTTAACAGCTATCGGATGAGTGGCTTAGAAATGAGAGCAGTCTGAAGTTGGTTGTAATTTTTGTATTTGCATCAATGTCCCAAGAAAACTCGATAATATTCTGTAATTTTTTAATCAATTTTTTTTCTGACTTTCTTCGAGTTGACGCCTGAAAGTAACAAAAAATTTCGTTTTGGGCGAAAATTGTCAAAGGAAGAAATATTCTACACAAAATTTCGTTTTGGGCGAAAATTGTCAAAGGAAGAAATATTCTATTCTAAATTTATGTACTGAAAGTGAAAATTTTGTGTTTGCTTCCGTGGCAAATTCTTCCTTTACACTTCATTTTCAGGATGAAGTATCAATGCAGAAATTTTTGTTATTACGATACGCATGTCTTTTTTTAGCTCTATTGTCATAATCCGCTTGATTTTGCCAGTATACCAATAATTACATCCGATTTCAAATTAAAGTCGCTTTAGGCGTTTTGGCTGGGCATTGATGAGACCGCCAGGAAAATAAAACCATTATGAAATATTTTATTTTATTTTTTATTTTCTCCTTCAAACACGTTCACACTCCTCAAAGGCATTTTCCAATATACATTTCATTATATTAAAATAGATAATGTCTTCCGAATATGAATCTTCATAGCTATTATCAATGCAATCTTGAATCAGGTTCAGAGGACAATTATATTTATAGGTATTTTGTATTTCATAAGCCAGACGTTCAGCGATAAAACCAACCTCCGGGCTGTAAAGATTTTTACCCATAGCAGTGCAGAATAAGTATGAGCGAAATGTGGGATTATGTTTCACCTTCAAATGGCCATTTTCATTGGCAATCATTTCATCAGCGAGGGGATATTGTTCACGACATTTTGCTTCGATTTCATTGGAATTCGCAGGGTTCCATGGTAACTCCTGGACAAAAATCTGTAATTGATAAGGATTTCATAGGATTTTTATCTAGATGATTGTCTGATTTGGGCTTACTGCTGTCACACAAAGCAAGGCAATGCTGAGAATCTTAAACATGGCAGAAATCTATGCTTTCTCACATTAAAATGCAGACTAGGTGTGGCTGAGGTATTATTTTTTGGAACAACCACAGCTAACTTGTTATCAGCAGATTTATTCGATGAGTCAAAGAAGGTGATAAAAATTCAGACTATTTCTTTCACGAATTATATAGAAGTATCCATGGCCAAACATACCTGAATAAATTCGGTATCAAATCTTTGGGTTTATTTTTATTTCATCGATGTTTATAATTTATTTTTTTTTAATTTTTTTGTTTGAATATTTTTATGGCTCTAAAAAATTCGACAATTTCCAATTTTTTTATTTGAATTTTAAAATTTATTTCATTATTTTTATTGCTTTCAAAATTAAAAAATTAACAATTTCCATAACTTCATTCAATTTTCTTACAATTTCCCTTAATGTCATCAAAAACACATTTAAAGAAATGGAAATATTTTCCCTCCTGAGACTCAATATCGTTGTACTTGTTGGCACAATTACGAATGAAATCGACATTACAATCAACATTCAGTCCATACTTTAGACCAACAGCAAAACGTTCTGGATCAAAACCACTTTCGGGCCGATAGACATTTTTACCAACAGCACTGCAAAACAACACGGACCGAACTGTGGGTGTATCCTCAAGTTGGAAGGCACGAATTTTGGCAATCGTTTCGGCATCAACGTTATACTTTTTCATACACTCCGCTTCGATTTCTTGGGGATTTTCCGGATACCAATCGGGACGTTCGGCAAAGACCTGGTTTTAAAGAATTTAAAATTGGGTCCATATTTAATTTCTCCTTTTTGCAATAGCTTACCAATGAAAACAAACAAATTGTAATTATTATTTTAAACATCTTGAATTATACTCCAAATACCAATCACTGTGCTCAGGAGAATGTGTCATCGGGTTTTTATAGAACACCTTATCATTGAATTTTTGTTAAATGTTTTGTTTTGTCACCCCTAATGTTTGTCCGTTTGATCCCTCAAATCGCCAAATTATCATTTGATGCTTTAGTTATTTGAGTCAATTGAAAATGTGCCGAATTGAAATAAGGTTATTAGACCTCTGAGACCTCTTTAATGAAATCCGCTTCAGGTTATTTGGGGTAAATTTTGCCATACTCATTTATTGTGGGCGGGGTAACACACATTTCTGCCACTTTAGGCAGAGCCGGATTTTAAAATTTACCGAATTTTAAGCAATTCCGCTAGAAACTAATGCTAAAAATCATCAAAATATCGATTATGGAGAAGAACATATATATGGGTGTTATACGAAAACGTTGACCGAAATAGCTCATCTCCGAACTTGAACTGCCTGCAGATAAAGGAAAGCTCTATGCAAAACATTAGCTTTCTTTGAACTCTAGCGTGACTACAACAGACTGAGGTACATGGTTACATCGACTTAGAATTTTACGCTGATCAAAAATATTTTTCCTTTTTCGGCTTAAAATTAATATTTCGAGGAGTTTCAAACGGGAACTCCTATTTGGAAAATCAAAGTTTTCTTGAAAAGATTCGTTTTAAATCATATTCACGTCCTCTGTAAGAACAAGTAAAAAAGTAGTAAGGGCCGAACTTTTGATACCCTCCACCATGGCATATATAAAGTCAAAATGTGGTCCCATATCAACAATTTTCTATACTCCCAGCTATATGGCTACAGAGGGTATATATCATTTGATACGACCAAAACGTGCCTCATCGCAGTAACGATTTTATACCCTGGGTCTTTTTGGAAAAAATCCGTTTCAGGGCACATGGAGTCGATCGGGGGATGTCCGTCCGTTCGGCTGGTGCGCACGATAACTCTAGAAGGGAGTATCCGATTTGACCCGAAATTGACACATTGCAATATTATTATCAAAATTATATTGAGTTCGGAGATGGGCAATATCGGTCCCCTCCTTCGAAAGAAAAAAAAAATGGCTTATAGAAGAAGAAGGAATCATCTAATTTTGTGCCTACTAAGCCAATTCTAACATTTTAATCAGTGCTAACCATAGTGCGAAAATGAGCAATATCGGCCCACTCAATCTAGTACCTCCCCCACCAAGGGTCTACCTTTGGAATAATTATAACTCTAATAAAATGTGAAATAAGAATTCGGTTGTCTCCAAATTTCGCACATCTCAATATTTATATCAGCACAAGATCTGGTGTGAAGGTCGGTCCACTCTTTCTGGTACCTCCCCCATAACAGATCATCATTTTAAATAGCCACGAAGCTCGTAAAACACAAAATGAGCATTCGATTCCTTTCAATCTCGGCACATCTCAATAATTCTATTGGCATAAGGTCTGCTATGTACATGTTAGATACGAACCCACTCCTTCTGACACCTCCCTCACAAAGGTTCAAAATTTGGAATAATTTTAAATCTTATAAAAGGTAAAATAAGAGTCCGATTGTATCCAAATTTCACACATATTTATTTTTATTAACACAAGATGTTGTACGAAGATATATTTGATCTCTAGTTCTGATACCATCCCTACAACCGGTCAATTTGGAATAATTATAACACTCATAAAATGCGAAATAAATAAAATCCGATTCTCCTCAAATTTGGCACATCCCAATATTTGGGCCGACTATACGATACCCTACACCAATATGCATATTTAGTGGAGCTCCCGTAACAAAATAATTTGTTTGAAGTAGATCATACAACCTATTAATATTTGGGTATAGAGCAGTTCTAGTTTGGTAATATGGGGGAGGCAACGATTTTCACTAAATTTGACGGAGACATTTTAATCTTTTATACCAAATAACATTGCACTCTATAGCATGATACCACTTCGAGAAGGATAATAATAAAAAAATAATGTATCGGATCCGAGTTCCACCAAAGGGAAACGTACGTCCCGAAATTCACTCCATTTGGGCTGATATTAGCCATTATTTGCACAGTAAACGTGAAATTGGATTAAGGATATATATGGGATCTATATCCAAGTCTGAAGCGATTTTGATACAATTTTCCAGAGGTATTTCTGGGCTGTATCTGATACCAAACGTCTTTCTACGGGGGACTTAAACATCAAATGAAACATATATATGGGAGCTATAGCTATATCTGAAACGATTTTTTCCGAATTCGATGTTGGCCATTTGGTGCACAATTAACCGAAATCAGTTGAATATATATGGAAGCTATATCTAAATCTGATTCGATTATCACCAATTTCAATATCCGATCCGATTATCACCAATAAATGCGACCTGCATTTTGTTCACAAGAATTGACGGATGCACAGACGGATTGACATGCACAAATCGATTCATAAAGTTATTCTATGAAGATCTTCATAAAATATAAGTCTATCTCACTTCCTTTTTCATGTTATAAACATATGCAGAAAGACATAATACCCTTACCACTATGAACTAGTTATACTGGAAGAAAATGTGTACCTAATATGCAAGGATGACAAACATAACTTATAACTAAATTCCGAAATAGGTCTAAAATCCTAATGTGACTAGTGCTAATATTTTCGAGCAAAATAATCCTCGTATTGTTATCAGTAATATTGGTGAAGAAGGATCCAAAATGATCAAAATCCTCCCCCCTCTTACTTAGGTTAGATTGTTATGAAAACTTTCAAAACGCCAGTACACGGGTCATATATTTTTAGCTTCATTTTCTTAATCGACAAAGTTTTTCATATTTGAAATATTTGCTCTGTTGGCGAAGGTCATTTGTTGCTGGATTTTTGATAATTTTCTCTTCCGAGTTGAGCTTGTAATGACCTAAGGAAATGGCATTGAAAATTGGAATATAGCGAAATACTACTCATCTATGTTTTTATACCCTCTGGATTTATCAAAATATTCGTCGGAGACCCAAAAATATATATATATTCCTGATCAGAATAAGCGGATTTGGCGATGTCCGTCTGTATATCTCTCTGTCTGTGGAAATCGCGATAGATTCACAATATTTAATCTAGAGGTTCGAAATTTGACATAAAGCTTTATATTATATGTAGGCTGGTAGGCTGGTTTCGAAAAATGGGCTGTATTGGTCCACGTTTAGATATATAGACCCCATATAACGTTAACTCCAGATTTTTGGGTATTTTGAAGGCTTCTTCCACAATTTCCAACCAAATCAACTGAGACTTTACATTTTGAGGTCTTGGTAGGTCTGTTCTCTCCCTGTAAAAAATATTCGCTACAGGTCCACTACTTGCCCCCATATGACGGAACCTCCCTTTTTTCGGTGTTTTGAAGGTTTCTGCCATAATTTCCAACCAAATTAGTTTAAGCTTGACATTTGGAGTTACTGAAATGTTTTCTTCTTGCGAAAATGGTTCGATTAACTTCCACTAATTGGTAAAACCCCCAATATAAATGTACCTTCCAATTACGGTAATTTTTAAGGTTTCTGCTACAATTTCCAATTAAATTTTGGTTTGAGTTGTTGTATATTTTAATTAAAACTAATTGAAATTCTAAATAAATTTGTTCTTTTCTCTTTCCAATTAATTCAATTTGCTTCGATAAACATAGTGGTGGAGGGTATAAAAAATTCGGTCCGCTCCTTAAAATTATTATACCCTACAACACTATGTGTTGGGGCTATTATAAGTTTTTTTTGGCCAAAAATTATGTAATACCTCGACATATTGATTTCCCACATATATAGATCTTCCTATCTCGCCGAGCTGAGTCGATCTAGCTATGTATGTCCGTCCGTCCGTCTATCCATGTTAATTTGTAATCACTCTACAAGTCGCAATTATGGCCCAATCCTCACGAAATTGAAAAATGGAGGTAGGGTTAGGGCCAGAGTAGAACCCTGTTGTTTTTGGAGATGACCGCATAATATTTAGGGGTTGAAATGGACCAAATACTGAAAAATTTTCTGATTTTGCAGTTGCTCTACAGGTCGCAATTATATTCCAATCGAATTTAGTAGGGGGCTTGACCTTAGGGCTGGTCAGAAGTCTTCCAATTTTGATGGTCATCGGGTAATATTTAGTGGGTGAAATAGACCATATCATTTCTGTTAAATAAAAGTCAAATATTCCATTGACCGCGAACATTTTTAATCCCGGCGAAATCGCGAATAGACGGAAAGATCAATTCTGACCGTAACGTAGATGCCGATAGTAAATATATCGGATATTTATAGCGAAATATATACAATGTGTATGTACAAAGGAAGGGGATGTTAGCTAGAATGCTTATATCTCAAGAATAGCTAGACCGATTTTGACAAATTTTGTCAATTCAGAATGCCCTCTTGGCATAAAAGGATAAAATCTAAAAAATCGCATAAAAAGATGCCAATAATGATTGTGACATTTTGTTTATTATTTCATATTTTTATATTGAAATGTACATTTTGTAATATTTTCTCACCTTACAACACACGTTCCTTACAACACACGTTCCTCACGAACATTTTCACAAGTGTCAGAAGGGCTAGGCCTATTGTTTTCAAAGATGTCCGCTATATATTTAGGGTTGAAATGGACCAAAAACAGAAAAAAATTTCCTGTTCACACAATAGAAGCCAATCGATACCCCTGAGAGGAGAGTTAAGGACAGGGAAGAATTTTAGAATTTTGGATGACCATTGAATTATATTTAGCTGTAAAATGGACCACAACAACTAACAGCACGACGGAGTGCGTAAATATAGGGCAAATGTCCCTGTTCAAAATGCTAAGGGTAATATTTGGGCAGAGCTTCCGGACATAATATAACAAGCGAAATCTTCCAAAATGGATTTGGACATAAAGGGGCTTCTAATATATTGTAGTTTTGTAGGGTATCACATGGTCGGCCCCGCACGACTGTAGCCTTTGCTTACTTGTTTTTAAAATTTTTTTTTATGTTGCACAGTGTAATTGAAAAGAGTTCAAAAGTTTTGCAGTGCTAATTTCAACAAATGCAGAACAACTGATAGCAAAATTTATGATTGCAAAACAAACGACTAAACGGCTCAGTTAACTTTGGGTTACGTTAGAACAGATGTCAGTTGATGTCTAGAAATGAATGCTGATAAAAATGGCCTATAAATAGGGAAAATGTGTTTTACAAGAAATAGTTTTCTTTCGATCCTGTTAATATTTACATTAGTAACGAGAAAACGACAAGAACAATGAATAAATTTTGTTTTGTGGTGCTGATTTGCTGTTTGGCAATGGTAAGAACGGGGAGAAAATGAAAATAATCCAAAAAACTGCACCTAACAATTCATGTACTACACATTAAGGTCTCCGCGGAACTTCCCGATTGGTATCCTCAAGATGAGCCAGCAATCGAAGCCAAATGCCGTGATGAAAACTCCATTACTTCGGACACCATGACAAAAATATGGTCTCATCAGATTGACGACACTCCAGAAATACGCAAATTTTTACTATGTCTAGCCGAAAATAAGAATGTTTTCAATTCCGATATGGGCTTTAAAGCCGATCGTTTACAGATTATCATGAAAGAAAGAGCCAAGATGGATTGTAAACTGGAATTTGTTGAAGGATGTGAAATGGGAGCCAAAGACATAAAACCCGACGATGCCATGATATTTAATATCATGAAATGCATAGTTGATGGCCTAAAAGAAAATTGTAAGAAAATTGAATGATTTCGATTAGAATGGGAATTCAAATAAAATTTTGATTGATATGTATTGATGAAATGTATTGAGATTCGTTGTGTTTATCTGGAACCTACAGCAAGAGCTTTCGTTATTGAAAGTAGAATTTGGAAATTTTGTACAGTCATTAAAAGGGTCAAATGTTTGGTATTTAAAATTGAATATATGGGTTAATGTACAGCCTTCATATAACGGCATCTTCAGATTTCCAGTATTTAAAATAAATAATAACGAGTTCATTCCGTCTGTAAAATCCCTAAATATTCGTCGTAGATCCCATAATGTATATATATTCATATGTCCGTCTGTCTGTCCGTCTGTTGAAATCACGATACAGCCCACATTATTTAACGTAGAGCGTCAAAATTTAGCAGAATAATTTTTATTGTGTCTAGGATGGTTGGTATTGAAAATTAGATATATAGGTCCACGTTTTGGTATGGCCCCCATATAACGGTACATCCCGATATTCGGTATTTTGATGATTTTTGCCACACTTTTCCACGGATTTGTCTGAAAATTGGTATTTGTTGGTCATAATGGTTTCTAGCTCCGGTGGCGAAACTTTGCATGTATAGGTCCACGCTTTGGTATACCCCCATATAACGGTACCTTCCGATATTCGGTATTTTGATGATTTTTGCCACATTTTTTCATGGATTTGTCTAAAAATTGATATTTGTTGGTCATAATGGGTTCTAGCTCCGGTGGCGAAACTTTGGGTGTATAGGTCCACGTTTTGGTATAGTCCCCATATAACGGTACCTCCCGATATTCGATATTTGATGATTTTTACCACACTTCGGCACGGATTTGTCAGCAAATTGGTATTTGTAGGTCATAATGGGTCCTAGATCGTGCGCCGAAACATTGTATGTATAGGTCCACGCTTTGGTATAGCCTCCATTTAACGATATCTTCCGATATTCGGTATTTTGAGGGTTTTTGCCACATTTTATCACGGATTTGTCTAAAAATTGGAATTTGTTGCTCATAATGAGTTCTAGCTCCGTTGGCGAAATATTGTATGTATAGGTCCATGGTTTTGTATAGCCCTATATAGCGATACCTCCCGATATTTGGTATTTTGATGATTTTTGCCACATTTTCCCACGAATATATCTAAAAATTGGTATTTGTGGAAGACACGACGTTATGAAATTTTACATCACAAAGTAACCTGGATAGAGAAGGAATATTCAACTTTTTCTAAATTTTTTGATTTAGAATTTCGAGATAGAGATGGATTTAGAATCCTAAATTTTTTTTACATTTTAGGTATATAATGTCTTTGCCTAAGCGACAATGTGTAAAAAATAATTTTACCTTATATAAGGAGCATAACATGCAGCATTTCTTAAATGACTTTTAAGTAATCAAAAGCACTCCATAAATTGTCAAAGCTATATATTAAATGTTGCAAAATATATCTCAAAATTATGGAATCGTTTTGGCCAAGTCTCTTTGGTCGATTATGGTCTCTTAGGTCAATTATCTCTCTTTTAAACCTTAGCCTAAGAAGCCGGCAATCTTTTGGTTTTTTGATCTACCAACCGTGCCCTATATAATTCATTGCAATTTTCCACAGCACAGATTGTCTTTGGACAGTGAAATTATAAGAAACCCTGCAGCGTTTTTAAAAAAGGGCCGAATTCGTCGAAAATTACGAAGGTTTTTTTATAGACCTAAAGTTATTATATTTTCTTATGGTATATATTATGCATAAACATTTATTTTGTTCAGAGACTCACATTAAAATCTGATCTAGAATTTTTCTCCCTTTGAAACTTTTCCAAAAAATTAAATATTAAGGAAGATTTTGACCTAGAATGGAAACGTGTTTAATTATACCCTCAGCTATATGGCTATATCATTTGATACGACCAAAACATGTCTCATCGAAATAACGGTTTTGGGTCTAAGTCTCTTGGGACAAAAACCTTTTTAGGACATTTGGAGTCGATCTAGCAATGTTCGTCCGATTTGGTCAAAACTTTGTACATCGTAATATTATTACCAAACTTAGATCAACTTCGGAGATGGGCTATATCGGTCCACTTCACGCCCAAAAAAGGTCGCAATTTTCAATAACAATTTTTCGGCACCGAAAGAGGAAAGATAATCGGATTTTGCTCCAACTTTGCAAATCCTAATATTTGCTGCAGTGCTAGGTTAGGAGCGAAAATGGGCAATATCGGTCCACTCCATCAAATACCTCCCAACAAAGGGTCAAAATTTTGAATAATTATAACTCTTACAAAATGTGATGTTGTCTTCAAATTACACGCATTACAATATTAGTAATAACCCGAAGTCTGGTGTGAAGATGGAGTTTCGTCCACTCCTTCTGTTACCTCCCCCACAAAGGGTCAAAGTTTTGAATAACGAAACGATAATAAAATCCGAAGTAAAAATCCGGTTGTCGTCATATTTCACACACCCCATTACATCTACTAATTCAAGATCTGTTGTGAAGATGGGATATATCGACGAGCTCTTTCTAGTACTACCCCCAAAAATGGGCTCAAAATTTTGGAAAACAAAACGCTTATAAAACGCGAAATAATTATCCAACTCTCTTCTTATTTAACACGTTCAAACATTTTTGCTAACACAAAATCTGAAGTGAAGATGATAGATATCTGGCAACCCGTTCTGTTAACGCACCCTAGGTCAGGTGCGAAAATGAAAAATATCGGTTCATTCCATCAAGTACCTCCCCCACAAAGGGTCAACAATTTTGAATTATTAGAACTTGTATCAAGTGTGATTTAAGATTCCGATTGTCTTCAAATTACATGCATTACAATATTAGTAATAACCTGAAGTCTGGTGTGAAGATGGAGTATCGGTCCACTCCTTCTGGTACCTCCCCCAAAAAGGTTCAACATTTTAAATAACCAAAACGATCATAAAATCCGAAATGAGGATCCGCTTGTCTCTATATTTCACACATCCCATTACATCTACTAATACAACATCTGGTGTGAAGATGGGATATATCGGCGAGCTTTTTCTAGTACTTCCACCAAAAAATGGGCTCAAAATTTTGAAAAACAAAACGCTCATAAAAAGCGAATTAAGCACCCAAGTGTCTTCAAATTTAACACATCCAAACATTTGTGCTAACGCAAAATCTGATGTAAAGATGATTAGGAAACCCGTTCTGGTACCTCAACCTCAAAGGATCACAATTTCCAAGACTTATATCTGTCATAATTGCGAAACAAGTCAGCGATTCTATGCAACTTGCTATATCTAAATATTAAGCCAGAAATCTGATATAAATATGTAATTAATCGGAATATATGATTTCGTATAAAATTGGGTATAAATGTTCCAATTCCTTTAAATTTTGCACTACCAATGTTTTTATTTGTATTAGATGAAGTGGAATATTTCGGTCCGCTATATCTGGTACCTCACGCATATTTCCACATTTTCCAAAAATCTGGGATTAGTCCAAATATGACATCTTCATATCATACTTAGGTCATATACGAATTGGACAATATTGGTCAACTGCTTCGGAACCTCCCCCATAAAGGGTCAACAGTTAGAATAATCATAACTTAAGGCTGGGGGTATACATCTCTCGGCAAAACCGACTGATACTATTTAATTTGTTATTCAAAATTTTAGCCCTTTGTGGGGGAGGTACATGATGGAGTGGGTTTATATCGTCTATTTTCGCACTTGACATTGCACTAATACAAATATTGGGATTCTTCATCCTTTCTTGTTCTATACAGTAAATTCCAGCCAGACAGACGGACGGAGGGACACCCCTAGTTCGATTCCAAATGTACTGAAACGGATTTGGTACAAAGGGACCTAGGGTCTAAAACTATAATTTTGGTGAGGCACATTTTGGCCATATCAAATCCTCTTTAGCCATATGGCCGAGGGTATAAAAATATAGCAAGGCCTAATACAATCTTATATAGGAAGACGTAAAAACAACAGCATCTAACCTTGTAAGAGGAGTCACAAGAAAATAATAGGTTCAGTATTCTTGGTTTTACAAACTTTTGGGGACTTGTAATAACTTCTCTACAGATCAGTAAAGGTTATAAAAACACAAATACTGCCTCAAACGTTTGCCAATATTACTGGTATACCGAAGACGAGCACATGGCATATATTGTTGACCAAAAAAACTTTAAATAAATCGAAATGCATTTAGTCCTACATTTAGTTAAACACGAAAAATCCTTGAGCATATCACCTCAAGACGAATTTAATTTTTTTTTATTTTTCTTGGAAAATTATTCAATTTTCTTACAATTTTCCTCCATGCCTGGTACAAAACATTTCATTATATTCATTATCATGACATCATCTGGTTTTATGTCTTTAGCACCATTTACACACTCTTCCATAAATTCCAGCTTGCAATCCACCTTTTTTCGATCTTTCAAAATAATCTGAAACCGATCGGCCTTAAAACCCATTTCGGAATTGAAAATATTCTTTTTGCGGGCAAGGCATAACATCAATTTACGTAGTTTTGGAGTGTCTTCAATTTGATTAGACCATTCTTTCGCCATGATGTCAGTTTTAATAGAGTTTTCTTCTCGGCATTTGATTTCGATTGCTGGTATATCTTGCGGATACCAATCCGGACGTTCAGCAAAGATCTAAACAAGTATAAGCTTTGATATGTATATTATATCGGTATGTTTTCTTTTTTTCAATTCTTACCATTGCAGAACAGCAAATCAGTATCAGCACACAACTCAAGGTATTCATTTTTATTGTCTTTTCCGAGTTACTGTTAAGATCAACCGGGATTGCAAGAAAACTAAAGCCTCTTTTAAACTGCATTTCCATTTATATGCACCTCTTATCAGGATTCATTTCCAGACATGAACTGGCATCTGTTCTCTTGTAACGCGAAGTTATTTAAGCCGTTTAGTCTTTTGTCTTGCATTATCAGTTGAACTCTTTTCTCTTACAATGTTGCTATTCTTATTTATTTTTTGCGGAAAAGTACTAGACATTTTATCATCGATAACGTTCACAATTTTAATAAATCTAACTGAAGTAGTACATGTTACTATATAATTATATATCAAACTAGCATGTGCCCGCTACTTCGTCAGTAAAAAGCCCACCTAGCAATGTCTGTCCGTCCGTCTGCGCATGATAACACTCAAAAGGACTATCCGATTTGGTCCAAACTTGGAACATGGTAATATTATTATCAAACTTAAATCAAGTTCGTAGATTAGCAGTATCGGTCTACTTCTACTGATTACTTCTTCACATAAGGTCGAAATTTTCAGAGAAAAAATTTACTACACAGAAAGAAAGGATATTCCGATTTAGCTCCAACTTTGCAAATGCTAGGTGAGGTGCAAAAATGGACATAATCGGTCCACTTCATCAAATACTTCCCCCCGAAAGGGTCAACATTTTGAATAGTTACAACTCTTATAAAATGCGGTTGTATATTTTAGAACAGTGTGGCTTGTTTGTTCGGGATACCGTAGTATTTTGTTGTTGCAAAATGGTCTGGCTTTATCCCTTTATTGTTGTTTTCATAAAAACAACGTTTGTTTATTAGTGGAGAACGATGGTAATGTTTACCAGGGGGTAAGGCAGGGAATACCTAGGTTTCGGAAAGAGCCACCAATCCTCATCAGTTCCCTTGTTTTTGTCTGGGATATTCTCCCCAGAAGTTATTTTAAAAATAACTTCTATGACAAAAAACATTTTTTACCCAAGTGACGAGATCGTAAGCTCAATAGAAGAGGAACCAAAGAATTAAATAAAACTAAAATTCTCTTGGAAAGTCTTCTAAATCTTACAACCGCACTTATAAACATTTACATCTTTCTCCACTTGTTATGCTTTCGTTCAGCCTGAACGAAGTAGCATAACCATGTAAGTTGGTTTTGTCTGTTACAACAAAAACCCCTTCGTCGACCGTGCCTTGTCTATTAATAGAACAGTGTGGCTTGTTTGTTCGGGATACCGTAGTATTTTGTTGTTGCAAAATGGTTGTATATTTTTATTAAGTCAAGGTCTGGTGATAAAATGGAATATATCGGTCCATTCCTTCTGGTACCTCCCCCACAAAGAGTCAACATTTTGAATATCCATAAAACGCGAAATTAACATCCGATTCCATTCCGACAATATTTTTTATCAACAGAAGATCTGCTATAAATATGTTAGAGATCGGACCATGCCTTTTGGTACCTCCCCCAAAAGGGGTCGACGTTTTGAATAACAAAAACTATGTTAAAATTCGAAATAAGCATCCGGCTTTCTTCATATTTTACACATCCCATTATTTCTACTAATAAAGGGCCGGTGTGAAGATGGGATATATCGGTCCACTCCGAACTCGATCTAAGTTTGACAATAATATTACTATGTACTAATAATGTTAATTCCAAATTTCAGGATTCCAGCCCTAACCGTTCCTCTAAATTTAAATTGTACTAAATTTAGTACCATTAAGTACTTTACGTGTACGAAAGTACACATTTCTGAAATGTCCCAATCCTATTTTCCCCCAGTAATGTTAATTTCAAATTTCAGGATTTAAGCTCCATCCGTTCCTCTAAATTCAAATTGTACTAAATTTAGTACCGTTTAGTACTATTCATGCTTTTTCGTAAACGGTTATACACTTTCATAACTACCTCCATGCATCGCCTCAGCCTTGATTTCCATTCCAAATTTCAAGTTTTGAACTCTAACAGTTGACATGATACGAAGTTGTACCAAATGTAGTACATTTTAGTACTTTTTGCATACTTTTAGCGCGAATTTCCAACAATCCATTGGTACATCTACGGCGTCATGATATTTAGCTCTACTGCATTCTGAAATGCAAAAGTACCATATTTTGTACCTTTTAATACTTTTCGTACCGTTCTATACGAATTTTAAAAATCCCAGCCTTATCTGACTCCTTCATCCAAAATTTGCAAAACTTATGGCCCATTTCTGAAAAGTTTCGTGAGGATCGGGCCCTCATTGCGACCTGTAATTGCATTTCCAATTAACATGCCCAGACATTTCTGAAAAGTTTCGTGAGGATCGGGCCCTCATTGCGACTGTAATTGCATTTCCAATTAACATGCCCAGACAGATGGACGTGAACGTTATTGTTTGTCGGTAATAATTTGTAATAGCCAAGAGTTCAAAAGCTTAACTGTGCCAATTGCAACTACAGAAGAAGAACTGATAGCAGATTTTATTATTACAAGACAATATATATATGTATATATATATATATATATATATATATATATATATATATATATATATATATATATATATATATCAGTTCATACCATTGTAAAACCACAAATCATTTATCTCTTTAGATATTCGCGGAACTTCCTGATTGGTACCCCGAAGATCAGCCAGCAATCGAAGACAAATGCTGTGAAGAAAACTCCCTTGCACCGGGCGCCATGACGAAAATATGGGCAAATCAAATTGACGACACTCCAGAAATACGCAAATTTTTGTTATGCCTTGCGATCAACAAGAATATTTTTAATTCCGATAATTTTATTATGAACAAGTAAGCAAAGGCTACAGTCGAGCGGGGCCGACCGTTGAATACCCTACAACACTATAATAAACGATATAGTTTATATAGGTGAGATACTCGAAAGAATTCCACAAGATATTGTGACAAATAATAAAAGAAAACCAGCAGGTTTCGTTCTTTAATTTTCGAATAATAGCAACTTAAACTAATTTGTTCATTTCCAATTTATTGGAAGATGTTGCACATAAATGGTCTTCCTAGATCTGGAACCAATATTTCCCAAAGACCTATAACCTCTCAGAAGTTGCAAAAGATTAACATTTATTATTGGTTTTTGACTGAAACGCATCTATATGAGATACAGACATTCTTCAACGAAATAGTCAGAAGTGCGTCTTTCCTGTATTTGTGAATTCTCCAAAAAGTCACTGGAATGGACATTTTCGTATTTAGTCTACAAAAGTTGGCAAACTATTTCACACATTGAATATTTTTGGATGGCCATCCAAAACTGCTTGGCTTTTGCAATGCCCGTAACCCCCATTCAAATGTGCGTGAGGATCGGGCGAAAATTACGACCTGTTGACAATTTTGCAGTTTTTTTTTTGGTCCATTTCAACCCCTAAATATATGGCGATCATCTCCAAAAAGAGTAGGCTTCTATTCTGACCCTCATCTTATCCCCATGCAAAATTTCGTAAGGATCGGGCCATAAATGCGATCTGTATATGATATCCTGATATCCTAACTACTTAGTTTTGTTAGCTGTAGAAATATTACCAAATGTTTAATTCAAAATGAAAATATGCCAAAAATATGACAAAATTGAAAAAATATGAGGAAATTTTAAAAAATCAATATTTTCATCTTTAGAGAGATGTTTTTATGCGATTTTTTTAGACGTTTTTTCTTTCCTGCCAAGAGGCCATTCTGAATTAATGAGAACTGTCGAAATCAGCTCAGCCGTTCTTGACATATAAGACATCTTTCAAGCATATCTTCTTTGGTAGACATATATATCGCACATATTTTGCTATATATCCGCTTTGTTGGATGTTAACATCAATGTAAAGATCAGGAGTAACCTTGTCATGGCTTTGTGATTTCGCCGCGATTTAAAATATTCGCGGTTTAATGAAAAATTTTGAATTTTTTCAACAAAAAAGATATGGTCTATTTTACTCGCTAAATATTATCCGATGACCACCCAAATTGGTAGGCCTCTTCCCCGCCCTAAACTCTAGCTACATGCGAAATTCCGCGTCGATTGGTCTATAATTGCGCCCTGTAGAGCAACTGCAAAATCATCAAATTTTTCAGTTTTTGGTCCATTTCAACCCCTAAATATTATGCAACCCTCTCCAAAAGAAATAGGGTTCTATTCTGACCTTATCCCCACCTACATTTTAAATTTCGTGAAGATCGGGCCATAATTGCGACCTGTAGAGTGATTACAAATTAACATGGACAGACGGACAGACGGACAGACGGACAGACGGACGGACGGACATACATAGCTAGATCGACTCAGCTCGGCGAGCTAGGAAGATCCATATATACTTTCCTATGTGGGAAATCAATATTTCGTGGTGTTACATAATTTTTGGCCCAATCAAACTTATAATACCCTCAACACATAGTGTTGTAGGGTATAAAAATCGAACCAAAAAAATCGGAGCTGGAATTTATTGAGGGGTGTATAATTGCAGCCAAAGATATTGAGCCAGATGATGCCATGATGTTGAATATCATGAAATGTGTTGCCCCAGACATTGAGGAAAATTGTAAGAAAATTGAATAATTTCCCCAGAAAAAATGTAACGCAAATAAACTATGATAAAACCCTGGCTTGGGTAAAGTCGGCTAATAATTATTCGGAGGAAATTCTTGCTTTTCTATCGGCTTGGATGTATTCCGATAGCCGGGGGCATAGATGAATTCAGAATGACTAAAGGATATAATTAACCAAGACTGCGGACGGACCACACGTCCACCTCTCTCAGTATTTCGTCAAAATAAAACAACATATGCCACGAAGTTATTGAGAGTTATTTTAGTACAAAAACAACTGTGGACACTTTATTGGTGGAAGTGCCGAAGAAGTATGCCAATATTGTTCATTTCGTATCTGACCTGATATAAATATTACAACGTACCAGATTTGGCCTATATCGACTCATTTCTTCCCATTTCATTTCTTCTTTCATGAAGAAGTATGCATGAGGAACTACAGGGTGAGATAAAAACTGCAACAATGTCAAACGCCATAATTTTTACATTTTATTATACCCTCCACCATACATAGTATGGAGGGTATATTAAGCTCGTCACTCCGTTTGTAACTCATAGAAATAATAATTTTAGACCCAATTTAGCCCTATCCGTCTGTCCGTCAGTTGAAATCACGCTACAGTCAAAATGAATTAAGATAGGAAGCTAAAATTTTGCACAGATATGTCTTTTGTCTGCAGTCAGGTCAAATTCGAAAATGGGATATATCGGTCCACGATATGGGGGCTGTACCCCATATAACGGTACCCCCCCATAATCGGTATTTTGATGATTTTAGCCACATTTTTCAATGGAATTGCCTGAAATTGTACACAAGGGGTAATTTATGAGTACTTTACCACCTGACAGAGAATTTTTTAATTTTAGCCACATTTTGAATTTTTACCCCCCGAAAAAGAAAAGTCTATATAGGTCCACAATATTGTATATCCCTCATATATCGACAACTTCCGATATTAGGTATTTTTAAGATTTTAAGAGAATGTTTAATGGATTTTATTTTTTTTAATTTCCTAATTCGTCCCAAATGGCGGAGGGTATTCAAAGTACGGCCCGTCCGAACTTACTGCTTTTTTACTTGTTCCTAATTCGTCCCAAATGGTGGAGGGTATTCAAAGTTCGGCCCGGTCGAACTTACTGCTTTTTTACTTGTTTAAATTTTATTGATTGAAAGCAAAAAATATCGGAAATAGCATCAAATTTTAGAATAAGTTAACATTAGTTCGAATTGGTAACCTTTGGCACGAATTATGGCCTTCAAACGGCCAATGAAACCGTCACACGCTGGCCGAATGTTGCTCTGCGGTATTTTGGCCCATTCCCGGCGAAGCGCTTGCTTGAGATGATCGACACTTTGGCATTTTTTAGTGCCAATCTTGCTTTCGAAAATGCTTCAGACACAAAGGTCCAACGGATTGGTATCCGGAGATTTTGGTGGCCATTGTGCGCTGGAAATAAAGCGAGAAACCTAATTTTGTGACAATTCTTGGGTGGCGCGTGCTGAGTGCAATGGTGCTGAGTCCTATTGGAATGATCAATGTCTGCGGCCAAAATGTTTGCGTGCCCAAGGCTTTAATACACCCTTCAGTATTTTTCTCAATAATATTCGGCATTTATTCTGGTGCAACAGACGATTAAGCGATAGCGAAGGGAGAGCGACCATCGGCTGTTATGGCGACCCACACCATCACCATGGCCTAAGCTAGAGTTCTGGTGGCCAAACGAAGGTGCACATTTTCAGCTGACCTCTTGTGCAAGTAAACACGATCACTCTGTTTGTTTACAAACTGCTGGACAACGAATGTTTTCTCTTACTCTTACTCTTTAGCTCTTTTGGATTTATTTTCTTTCTGTTGCGGTGTAAGTTCTGGCACTTTTTGGAATTTTAATGGCTTTACCCCGAGCTCATTTTTCAATATTTGGCGAATGAAAAATTGCGATATGTTCAGCTCACGATCCATTTTTCGGCCACTGTGATGCACGATTAACTTTTTTTCTGGAACATTCTCACCAAAATGCTTTTGAAAGCTTGTAAACAATATAATAAGCTGTCACTGGAATAATTTTAATAGTTGTCAGACGAGTGGCTTAAAAATGACATCAGTTTGAAGTTGGTTGCAGTTTTTTTTTATCTCACCCACAATATCCAAATCCAAACCGATCTTTAACACATTTAGCAAAGAGATTTCTAAGCTGTATCTGATATCTGGTACCAAATATAATTATTGTGAAGTACATATTACGGATGTGAGAGCATAAACACGAAATCGCTCGAAACTTTTATTTGAAATCTATAGTTACACCTGTAACGATTTTCATCAAATTTAACGAATTGCTTCTAGACTGAATTCCGTGTATGTGCCAAAATCCATTTATATGAGAGTTATATCTAAATTATAGACCGATTGAAGCCATTTCAAAAGCAAACCTTAGGCCAAAAAAATGGTTTTTGAAAATTTGCAATTCGATCGGACAATAAATGCAACCTGTACTTTGTTTACAAAAATATATGGACAGACAGACGGACGGACATCGATAAATCGACTCTGAATGTACAATAACGTAATCCTGTTTCCAGTGTGATGTAGAGTATAATAATGTGGGAAGCTCTTTATTTCCTAAACAGTTTATTCGGGTGTCTGATCTGACGAAGCAATCATATTAAACTCAATTCGCTGAATATTCCATTTAATTCGACCATTCGACCATAATGGAACATGTCATATAAACAAAATCAAAATCATGTCATATAAACAAAATACAAAATCCATTTTCAATTTAATTATATTTTTATTGTTATTATTCAGCCTTCTTACAATTTTCTTCTCCACCAACGATAACACATTTGATTATTTTGAAGAGCATGGCATCCTCAGGTTCTATATCTTTGCCCTCCTCTGCGCATCCTTCAACAAATCCTGGCTTACAATCCATGTTTGCTCTTTCTTTCATGATCACCAATAAACGGTCAGCTTTAAAGCCCATTTCGGAATTGTAAAAATTCTTATTGTGGCCTAAGCACATTACATAGTTGCGTACTTGTGGAGTATCTTCAATCCGACTGGACCATATTTTTGTCATGAGTTCTGGGCTAATGGAGTTTTCCTCTCGACATTTGGCTTCCACTGCTAGTTCATCTTTGGGATACCAATCGGGGCGCTCGGCAAAAATCTGAAAAGGAATTGTATTTATTGTTTGCTGTTTTTAATTGCGTTTTTCTCATTTCTTACCACCGCGAAGCAGGAAATGATTAAGACAATACTTAATTTATTCATTTTTTATATATTTCCGCGTTGTTGTAACTATCGACAAGATTGCAATGAAACTAATGTTTCTTATGCGTTACATTTTCATTTATAGCCAGCTCTTATCAGGTGTGTGTCTGTTCTGGTGTAACTGAATTAAAATTGAGCTGCCTTATCCTTATCTTCTAATAATCAAATTCATAATCAATGGTTATGCATTTTATTAAAACTGAACTTTTGACCTTAGCACACAATGTTTTTCATATATTGCCGATATATTATTTCCATATTCCATATGGAAGTATTAGAATATTTTTGTCAAGAGAGGAGCTTCGAATCTTCAGTGGGAGCAGAAAGCATAACTAATGAGAATCCAAAATGTGAAGTTCAAGCTTAAATCCGAAGTTAAGCTTTAATCTCTATGTAAGTCCTCCGGTTGTTTATCAGACTGAAGCGCACCATAATTCTCGTAGGAAGTATTAAATTTGACATATCATGACATACTTTTGCCAAACTTAGGTCTTCTTCGAAGACGCACATTGTCGATCTATTTATATTAGTACCTTAACCATGAAATTTCAAGATATTAAAAAATAATTAAAGAAGTTTAAAAGATTCAGTCGGTTTTACCGCCATAAATATATTTTGACTTGCCTTATGATTATTCAAACCGTTCACCTTTAATGGGGTTGGTTGGAGAACGGCTAGACTGATTTTAATATTTTTTTACAAATGTTCGTTATTCTTTAACTTAGGTTTTTATGGAACGAACCATTGACCACGAAACATTAAAATTCTTGTAATTTCCAAAAATATTTAAGATATCGGTTTGAAAATAAGTATACCAGAATGCTGCCTCCAACCCTAAGTAGTGGCCACGCGTACTTTTTAATATAAAGGGTGTTTTTCTAACGGGTTGCTGATTTTAAATTTAAATAAAACTATCGTCAAGAAAAAATGTGTTTGGAACATAATTTCTTTTCGTTTAACATTTAAATATAATTTCGGGCATATGGCCATTCTGGGGGGCTTAAATTTCGACCAAACTTTCAAGTATTCGAGGGCGTATTTCTGCAATGACACGTTGAATATTGGTTTCGAAAACGTAAATGACTACTGGTTTATCCACGTAATCTAGTGATTTCAGGTATCCTCATAAAGAATAATCGCGTGACGTCAATTCAGTCGAACACGGAAGCCAATTCTATGGTCCATTTCTCGAAATAATATCGTCGTTAAAATTTTCTATCAAGAAGCCCATTGTTGCGTCAGCAGTATGACAAGTGACACCATTCATGATTCTGTATCGATTTTCATTCACCACAACGTTTTTTTTAAAGAAATGAGGACCGATGATTCCACTGTCCATATACCGCAGCAAAAAGCACATGTATCGGGATGCATTGGTAATTCTTGAACGACGTGTGGATTATCTTTGCTCCAAATTTAGCTTGTTGACATATCAATTCAACCAAAAATTCGCCTCATCACTGAAGAGAATTTTGAGGTAAAACAAGTAAATTGGAAGTTGAGTTCGGTCAGGAATTTTAATACACACCACCATTTTGAAGGAACTTCAAAAATTTCAAATAATGCAATTATACGAAGACGTTTTCCTTCATAAGTAAGTTTTTGTCATAGGCTTTAGAACCCATTACGACCTTCAGTTACGAAATCTAAAATCATAAAAATACCGAATATATAGGGAGGTATCGTAATAGAAGCGCCATACAAAGATGAGAACCTGTCTACGCGATTATTTATTTTATTTATTACGTCACTTGACCACTGTCAAAACAGAGTGAATTATATTAAAAACAGGTAAAAAACAGCTAAGATCGGCCGGGGCGAACTTTTCATACCCTCCATAATTTTGAAGGATCTTGAAAAAATTCAAAAAAAAAAACCTTCGAAAAATATTACTTAAATGAAAATCGTTATGTGGGAGATATACAAAGACGTGGACCTGCATAAGTAATTTTTTGTCAAAGGCTGTAGTATCGATTCCGAACTTCAAATACGAAATTTGAAACAATTCCGTTGAATAATGTCTTCATCAAATTTAAATCGATTTCGCTGAATAATGTTGCTAATATCATCAAAAAATTAAAAAAATTGCCTAAAATCATCAAAATACCGAATGTGGGGGGGGGGATACCGTTATATGGGGTTTATGCGATATCGTGGACCGATATAGCCCATCTTCGAACTTGACCTGCCTGCATACAAAATACTAATCTGTGCAAAATTTTAGCTTTCTATTTTAATTCATTTTGACTCTAGCGTGATTACAACAGACGGACGGGCAGGGCTAAATCGTCTTAGAATTTTACGCCGATCAAGAATAAATATATCGATGAGTTACAAACGAAATGACGAACTTAATATACCCTCCATACTATAAATGTTGGATGGTATAAAAAACCTCATAAAAACACCCTTTATATATAAACAAGTAAAAAAGCAGTAAGTTCGGCCGGGCCGAACTTTGAATACCCTCCACCATTTGGAACGAATTAGAAAATTTTCAAAAATATAAAATCCAATAAAAATTCTTTTAAAATCTTTAAAATATCTAATATAGGAAGGTGCCGATATATGGGGGGATATACGATATTGTGGACCTATAAAGACAAATCTATGTCTGCGTGTAAAGTACTCACAAGGAACTCCTTGTATGGATTTTCAGATAATTCCATCGGAAAAAGTGGCTAAAATCATCAAAATACCGAATATAGGGGAGTACCGTTATATGGGGGCTATACGATATTGTGGACCTATATAGATGATTCTCTGTCGGTGGGTAAAGTGCTCACAAAGAACCCCTTGTGTACAAAGAACCCCTTGTGACCATTCCGTTGAAAAATATGGCTAAAAACATCAAAATACCGAATATCGGGGGTACCGTTATATGAGGGCTATACAATATCGTGGATCTATATAGATAATTCTCTGCCGAGGTATAAAGTACCCACAAGGAACTCCTTGTGTGGATTTTCAGACAATTTCGATGAAAAATGTGGGTCAAATCATAAAATACCGAATATCGGGAGGTACCGTTATATGGGGGATATACGATATCGTGGACCTATATAGGCATTTCATTTTGAGGAGGTAAAATGCCCACAAGGGACTCTTTTGTGGATTTTCAGACAATTCCGTTGAAAAATGTGGGTAAAATCATCAAAATACCAAATATCGGGGGTACCGTTATATGGGGGCTATACGATATTGTGCACCTATATAGATAATTCTCTGCCGAGGTATAAAGTACCCACAAGGAGCTCCTTGTGTGGATTTTCAGACAATTCCGTTGAAAAATGTGGGTAAAATCATCAAAATACCGAATATCGGGGGATACCGTTATATGGGGGCTATACGATATTGTGCACCTACATAGATAATTCTCTGCCGAGTTATAAAGTACCCACAAGGAACTCCTTGTGTGGATTTTCAGACAATTCCGTTGAAAAATATGGGTAAAATCATCAAAATACCGAATATCGGGGGGTACCGTTATATGGGGGCTATACGATATTGTGGACCTATATAGATAATTCTCTGCCGAGGTATAAAGTACCCACAAGGATCTCCTTGTGTGGATTTTCAGACAATTCCGTTGAAAAATGTGGGTCAAATCACAAAATACCGAATATCGGGGGGTACCGTTATATGGGGGCTATACGATATTGTGGACCTATATAGATAATTCTCTGCCGAGGTATAAAGTACCCACAAGGAACTCCTTGTGTGGATTTTCAGACAATTCCGTTGAAAAATGTGGGTAAAATCATCAAAATACCGAATATCGGGGGTACCCTTACATGGGGGCTATACGATATCGTGGACCTATATAGACAATTCTCTGCCGAGGCATAAAGTACCCACAAGGAACTCCTTGTGTGGATTTTCAGACAATTCCGTTGAAAAATGTGGGTAAAATCATCAAAATACCGAATATCGGGGGGTACCGTTATATGGGGGCTATACGATATCGTGGACCGATATAGCCCATCTTCGAACTTGACCTGCCTGCAGACAAAAGAGAGATCTGTGCAAAATTTTAGCTTCCTATCTTAATTCGTTTAGACTGTAGCGTGATTACAACAGACGGACAGACGGACAGACGGACAGACGGACGGACAGGGCTAAATCGTCTTAGAATTTTACGCTGATCAAGAATATATATAATTTGGTGGGTCTAAAATGATTATTTCGATGAGTTACAAACGGAATGACAAAGTTAATATACCCTCCATACCTTTTTTGGTGGAGGGTATAAAAAGAAATCAGGAATGATTGCGATAATTCTCACCGATTCGGAATGATCTGTTGGCAGAAGAGGATCAAAATCGCATAAAAAAAGGCAATATAAGAATAATATTATCACATCTTGTCATCTCTTTTATTTTTTTGTAATTTTTATACCTTCCACCATACGATGAAGGGTATATTAAATTTGTTATTCCGTTTGCAACACCTCAAAATATTCTTTGAAGATCTAAAAAAGTATATACATTCCTGATCAGAATAAAATTATATGATCTGTCTGTTGAAATCAAGGTAGAGTCCGCAATATTTGAAATTTGGCAGTTTGATTGGTATTGAAAATGGGTTATATTGGTCCATGTTTAGGTATTGCCTCCATATTTACGATACCTCCTGATTTTCGATATTTTGAAGATTTCTGCCACAATTTCCAACCAATTTAGATGAAACTTGTCAATTGAGATTCTCGGTAGGTCTGATCTCTCCTTGCAAAAAATGTTCGATGTAGATTCACTAATAGGTAAAGCCCCCCATGTAACGGTACCTCCAGATTTTCGGTATTTTGAAGGTTTCTGCCATAATTTCCAATCAAATTAGATGATAATATTGGTTTCGCAATTTGAGCTGATTATGTTAAGTTAACATATTTTACTCGTTTTCATTATTTAATTTTACTTTGATACACGTAGAGGTAGATGGTGTAAAATGTTCTGATATCCATAGCATTACTATTTTTTGCCAAATTTATCACACTGGGATTCCCATAAAATACACTGTATAGGTAGAATTATTTTCACAATTATTTCAAATATTTCGTAACAAGTT